TGAGTCTGTGGTGAGAGTTCATATAGTGTTTCTGATTTCCCGATCCTGACCCGTTCTGCCTCTGGACCTCTCGACCTCCCTGTCCCCGTTCTGATCTGTTTGACTGACTTGTCCTTGGACTCCTGCTGGATCGCTGCCTGTCTGTGAACTGAACCTGTACCTGTTGCCTGACTTCTTCTTACCTCTGATCTCCTGGCTCTGACTCCCGAGCATGTCTTTGACATTGGCTTTGGCTTCGCCCTCTGGATTATCCTGCCTTCCGTCATCTACTTGATGCTGCAGTTCCATTTCTTATAAACATTTTGGGGAATCTAACTGTTTGTCCACCTTGAATGCTGGGTCCTATTGTTTAGAGCCTGACAGCTACTTATATTTGGTGATGATTTCAGGCCAGTTGTAAAACATGAACTTGTAAATTAGTGAAAATTCAATTAAATCTTTTAACTGTTAACTGAAATTTTGTCTCTAAAAGGTGCTAAAAATATAAAGTTTACTTTAAACAAATTACTGTCATATTTATATATACCAGTATATTTAAAAAAACAAGCTATTTACCATACATACCAAGATAATACCAAGATAATATATTAAAGCATTTGGTTGCAAGGTAACAAAATATAGTGTCCAAGATTACAAGTCTATATTTCTATTTAAAATTCCTGTAAAGAGGGTGAGGCAATGGTATACATGCTTAAGTTTAGATAAAGATCAATTCTGTCTTGTTCCTAAAGACCTAATATTCTAAGACAGAAATCGTGTGTTTCCACGATGGAAGCCATCCCTTTTATAAAGATATTTGCAAGTGTGGTGTTTAACATTGCATTGTCAGCAGGAATATATTGAATCCACTGACATGATGCTGCTGCCATCCATGAGGCTTATTTTAGTAGCTAGTTTACACTATCTGTGTTGGAACTGCTTTGTTGAATTTACAATCCCTTATGGACAGATAGCATCTCAGCCTGTTATGATGTGCAATGGATGCTCCAAACTACCTATTTAAGCAAAACTCCTGTTCCATCTCACAGCTAAGTAAACTCCTATACACCATCTTGCAGTCGAGCTATTCTTATACACCATCTTTTATCCTCCTTCTGTGTGCTGTACTTCAGTTTAAATGGCCAGGGGGAGGGAAATATTGGCAGTAAGGGTCAGAGGTTTCATCTGAATGCGGGTGCTCTTATTGTTTCTGACTTCAGCTGTGGTTTCAACTGTTTCTGAGCCAATCCCCAGGACCATTCAATTAATCAATGATTTGAGGAATTGGGAGATTCATTAAATAAAGCCTTGAGCAGAAATTTGACAACTACTATGAGAGAGAGAGCATAAAAGGAGAAAATGGTTTAATTTGCCTCAAAGCAAACTCTGAGCATCTAACCTAATTTCTACCTAAGTTGAGAATTGTTCTTACATGCCATGGCAACTTTTATTGAGAATTAAGGTTTCCTCAAAGCCATTCATGAAAGTACACCTTTGAAACTTTGAAACTGTTTCTTATGCTACTCTTGCAAATGCATGCTTCTGCAGTAGTTTAGACTTTCAGATGTTTGGTTAGTGTCTCCAAATGATCTTCAATCCTACTGAACTGCCAGCAAAGGCAACACATTGTTGTTCCATGCATCTGTATTATTTTATGTCTCATCGGTGTCTGTACTTTCAAGATGGCAGATTTTCATGGCACGGAAGACAGGCCTTATAGGTAATAATACACTAATAATAACACACATTTAAATGCAGTCATCGGCTGCAAGCAGTAAAAAATATAAATTATTACACAATGTACTTTTAGATAGCTAATAACCAACTTTAAAGCTTTGTAGAATGTGAATGTAACTTTAGGTTTCTTTGGCATCTTGTCAAAAGTAAGATTTAACTCCCATCAGAATGTCATGTTCAGCTGCTGATCTTCAAATACAATAGTCTTCAACAAGCATGCAGTGTCAGACCAAAATATAAGGCTTTGAGAAATTGTAATTTCTATAATAATTTGTAGAAATCATCTTCTGTTCAAATCATGGCTTGAAGTCTTTATGTCTCTATCAGCTATGCACATTTAAAGAGCATTAGGTTGGTTCACTCTTCTTGGACTTTCACAAGCCCATTATAACACATTAATTAGATATAACTGACACTATATCTATATGGCTCTAGCTGCATGTTCACGTTTGCCCCTGTTGGAAAGTGAGCCTCTGCCCCATTCTTTAGTCTTTGTGCAGCCTTTTACAAATTCCAGTGTTTCGCTCAGTTCATCTTCCCATCAACTCTGACTCGCTTCTCTTCTCTATGATGATGAAAAGCATTCTCCAAGCATCAGGGATGGAGTCTTTGATTCAGCCTTGAACACTTGAAACACAGGAAGTCATCAACAACTGAGACTGGCATTAACCTGTGACACTTTGCCATCAAAATTAGAGCAATGTTTCTGATTATGACTAGATGCGTCGTTATGAGCATATTCTCAAAGAAAGGAAAGTCTTATCACACTACGGTCCCTTTGACTGAATAAATACAAAACAGATATCTAAAACCCAAATACATACCATTAATAATAAGGCATCCTCATATAAAGAGACTCTAACTGTAAAATATCCTTACAGTGAGTTTGGTACATAAACACAAAGAATAAAATAGTATCTGGTTCTCTTCTTAGGATATTAGCTACTATAATTCTGTTCCATCTCTGTGTTGAAACATTTGCTACACTGTCGGGTATTTCATCCTCTTTTAAGGGTGGTAAGACAACAAAATCTCTAGGCTGTGACTGCTTGACTTGGGGGGTGTGATATAATTTAGGGTTGAGCAGAGTGGGCGTCATCCTCTAAACTCAGCCGGAGTTGACTAATGATGTAACTGAATAATGTATCTGATATATTTTAACAGTGTTTTATTTTATCTATTCCATGCACCTTAAATAGACTTTTTTACTTTATCATCTAAGTTGATTTATGCAGCAATTAATTACAGCACAGCTAATAAATAGAATTACACTACTATCAGTGTAACCGCTGTATTTATAGTCTTATTTAGAAAGAATTATCAGAAAACGTTAACATTATCACATGTTCAAATTATAAATGTACCCAAGGTTCTTTGGTTCTCCAGATCACCTAGACGTTCAATCTCTCTAAACAATTTTTGTGTGTTTTCTCAAAGGTTTGGTGTTGCTGTTCTTTCATAAAGGGAAGAATTGTGGAATGCACTAGTTACAGTATAGCTGCCTTCTCAACAAACTCTCCTTCTTGATGAAAATCTCTGCAGCTTCTCCAAAGATTCTATAGTTCTCTTCATTGTGACTCTGCTTAATGCTTGTCTCTCAAAGCCTATAAGCTAAGTGTCACAGACACCTCATATTTGAGATAATGTTTTAAAGGAATAGTACACCCAAAACATGATTACCCTTCATTTTCTACTCACCCCCATGCTGAACAACACTCTGGAGTACTTTTTTGATATCTCAAATGCATCTGGAGATCTGGGAGGCTTCTTGCTGTCTGCTGACATTCAAATAATGGAGGTATATGCTGCCCGAGGCAGAAAGGTCCATAAAAGTCCACAAAAGTCATTTAGAATGTTTTTAGAGCCTAAACAGTAGTGTATAGGATTTCCTAAAAGCGCGTTCACGACTCTACGGAAACCGCGGCAGACCAAACCAGATGAAAGTGCGCATTCAGCTCGGCAAAGAACTCATGCTCTTCCTCAACACTGAAGTCCTCAGACATTTTTCTTTCGTTGTTTCTTTCTTTTGCACAGGTAAACAACACATTTCTTCTTCTACGCTTGCATTATCGGCAGAGCAGACGCTGAATGCGCACTTTCATCTGGTTTGGTCTGCCGCGGTTTCCGTAGACTCATGAACGTGCTTTTAGGAAATCCTAAAACTACAGTAATGCTCTTTTAAATTAATCACAGGTGGGCTGCGTTTCCTAATGTGATGATTTCTGAACCCAGCTGGTTGCACTTGTTTATTATTTAAGGGTATCTGAGCTTATGGGATTCAATGCAAATGTCTATCCAGTTTCTCTAGATCAGTATTTTTGTTTTACAAAAATATGCAAATACCTGTTTACCTCACAATTATATTCTACTTTGCGTAGGTGTTTTACATGGTATGCCAAAGGTTGAGACTATAACGTCATAAAATACGGGGCAAATGAAGAGCCATGAAGATAAATAGTGCTTGAGAAGTGCCCTATGCAAGTGGAAATTGTATGGACAAATTATATGTCTTTGAAATATGTCTCTGGTAGGTAATAGTTTTTAAAGAATGCCTTTTTTTAGTACATGGTAATAGGTGTCGACTCATCAGAAAAACAGGTGTTCATGGTTTCCAACTGTAAGAATTAAATAAGACACTTCTTGGCCAGGTTTTGTATTCCGCCCTACCGACACTATGAATTTGTTTTCGTCTTTTATTTAGTGTGAAACTCGACTTTGGAAACATTTAAATCAAACCTCTATTCAATTGGATGCCTCGTTGTATTTCCTAGTATGAGACAGTTCCTTTTATAAGTACTGGAACAGTAATAAACAGTGAAAGGAAAATAAGTTTTTGAATAAGTGCTGTTAAAGTGGTACTCTGGAGCCAGCGCCAAGTGGCTGTCAGTTGTATTGCACTTTTGGACCTTCTGTAAATGTACACAGAGCCTTTTAAAATAAAATAGTCCTCCAAATTTCACTTATACCTCTTAAAAAAAATTATGGTAGCATCTCAAATGACTTCTTGGATTATTTTACGGACCGACATTTTATCCCTAAGGCATTTCTCTGCTGCCCTCTGGCGGCCACCACAAGCTTTCTCCCATTTAAAATATTTATTAAAGATAACAATTCAGGTGAGATGTCCCTACTCTGATGAATGCACAGAAGTTAAACTGGTTGATTTAAGCAATGAAAGATTAAAATATGGGAATGCTCTTCACCCCTGCACTCTACACCCCAGCATTCACCTCCCAGCAAACCCAACCCATTGGAAGATCCCTTCACTCTCTGAGTGACGCGCCTTTACACACAGAAAGAGAGAGAGGAGGAGAGATAGATGCAGGTATTAGTAGGAGGTGGGGAAAGAGGCGTTGATCCATATCCAGTGAAACAAGGAGCACCCTACTGGGGGATGCAATTCGGTCCCGGGTGTTTTCTTTCCTCCAACACACTGAAGGAGCTTATTAATCGGAGCGCAGACGACGCAGGTGTATCCTTTTCTCTTTCCTCCTCCTCCTCCTCCCTCAGACCTACTACCACTCATCCTAGTTTCCCACGCGCCGGAGCGGTAACAACAACAAGGCGGTAGATGAACGCGCGCGGCGCGTCTCTGCTACTGTGCGCCGCTGTGAACGTGAAGCCGGCTCCACAGCCCTTACACATGACCTAAAACACACCGCTCCATAAAGAAAAGGCTTATTGATCACCATGGCTGACCAGGTAAGAGGCGACTGACATTTTCCAACCCCCTACCCTCCTCCACACCTCTACACACAGCGTGCGCTCTGCGCACAGCCAAGAATAGACGCACAGGTAGACAACACAGAACCTGGGACACCTAATCTTCCTCCAACAGGTTCTGTTTTATTTAGCTGCTTAGTTAACAATACGGGTTATATTGTGGTGCATTTTAATTATTGGATTAACCATCATCGCTCTTAATTTCCAACCTTTTTCTGTGTAATTCCTCTTCAAACTGAGTTAATTCACTGGCGCTTGGAAGAAATACCGTATGATGAACAGTACTACACTACAACGAGGCGTTGCTGCTAAGGAATCAGAAGTATAAATGGGTCGTACAGAGGAGAGAACACAAACATAGCCTGTAGTATTAATTTTGCATTGTCTGCTGTTGTTTGTCCCAGTTTCTGGACTCGGAGTAAGGAGCAGATTAACCATCGGCGCCCGGTCATGGTTTCCTGTTTCTGCGGATGCAGAACGCAGACACCTGATTCATGCCTAATTGATTAGCTCGTTTAATTAACCTAATTGAGGAACCCTGCTGATCCCACTCAGTGATTAGACTGGACAGTGTGTGTGTTTCCTTTAAGAGACAGTGTAATAAAGATGTTGCTACACCAACATTGCACTACACACTTTTGTAGATACAATATTATGGCAAATGGTAAAATAAAACAATCGAATATACAGCTTATAATAATAATTATTATATTAATAATGATAATTTAACTTTATTTATCTCACATTGGAGAAATTTACCTCTACATTTAAGCCATCCCCTTGGGGAGCAGTGGGCTGCCATCATGGGGCGCCCAGGAAGCAGTGTGGGGTTAAAGATCTTGCTCAGAGACCCAGAGTGGCAGTCTGTGGGAGTGGGGCTTGAACGCAAAACCTCAGGATTCCAAGCTCTATGCCTTAACCACTAGGCAGCCTCTCCCCGAATTGATCCCTATTCGTTCAAAACCATTCACTAAATAAGTGGAATAAAAAAAATGAATCCTTGTAATAAGATAATTGCAAGTAAACTATGACCAACATCGCAAACCCTCACAATGATATGATATTTTAAATTAACTATTGCTGCTTCCTCACTTAGATTGTTTTTGGGGGAGGGAAAAAATATCTCAGCTTTTTGGGTGAGTTTTCTATAAGCTCCTAGGCTACTTATGAAGTAGGATTGTATATTTTATGAGTTTTGTTTTAATATGGACTGTTACCAAATAATTGTAACATATTAACATGCTTTGTTCTAGGCCATTGCATATAGCTGCTTTAGGGTGAAACGAGCCATGTTTGTTTTAATCATCCCTCTTCTGTTCATCCAGGAATGCCCTGTTTTAAACTTCATTCAGCTTCCCATCATCAGACTGGTTTCAAGTTTTGTATAAAAAAAAAAAAAAAAAAAAAAAAAACAAGAATTGAACTGAATGAACTATATTCAGTTTAATGCTTAACATAACACTCCTTCCCAGCCTCTATCCCTACCCTGTCTGTTGTTTTCCTTGGTTTTCATCTCTAACAAGCCTTTAAGAATAAGTGGATTAATGCTGAGATTAAACTGGTTGCAGTGGATTTATTTATTGGTATCAGGTATCAGTGTCCTGAATACAATATTATTTTTTTAAATTTGTTTTTATAAAAAAAAAAAAAAAAAAAAAATTCCACTGTCGGCCACTAATTTTTGTTAGTCAAAATTAATGTACATTTCAAATACATTTTGAAGGTTTTCTTTCAAATAACAAAATCTATAAAAATCTAGATTATTTATATGTTAAAGCACCTTGAGGCTCTATCTCTCCGGTTCTTTTCCCTGAAAAGAGATCACTCAGGACAAACTTTTTGAATAACACTTTATAACTTATATGTATTAAATAACCAGGAGACATGAGAACAGATTCTGATAGAAATTATAATCTTACTCAGGTCAGAGAAATTGCTTAGAGTTTACAGAATGGCAGCTGCTCACCTCCGGGCTCACCTCTCAGGAAGTGGCCCAGATTAATAGTTAAAAAGGCATTTTATACATCTCCAGTCTGCCACATCATCATATTTTACTGTACATCATACACATTAGCACATGATTAGACATCCATGGCTCCAGCCTTATCAAAATATTACACTTCGTTCTTAGCTGAAGGATATCGCCCTCATTCCATTTCCAATCTTTGCCACAGAATGAAGATTATAACTGTATATCCGGACGGAGGAACTGTCTTAATTAGATTAACTATAGTGGAAAACATCAGTTCTGACTCGCAACAGGCAGCCAATACCAAGGTGTAATAAACTCACACATATACATATACAAAGCAGTACACCCTAACCAGGGGCGTTGCTAGGCACAAAGCTTTACTGGGGCACTGGCCCCCTACCGCATATGCCCATCCTGCCATACACAAATACAGACAAGCACACTGCCCCACCCTAAATTCCTACCAAAATTACCAGTTGAGATATTAATGAGTGTAAGAGTATATTTGTTTTAACAAATATACTCTTTGTTAAAACAATGTTATAGCTGCAATGTTGAACATTTTCAACATTGCAGCTATAAAAAATAAGACATTACCAACTTTAAAAATAAAAAGTTTCCTTATACACATTCTGAAGTAATCATTAATTCCTAGGTTACAGAGTTTTAGTTCAGGGGAAAGTTTAACTCATCCTGAGCTAAGTTTTCCTTTTATTTTTTTGAGCATTAAAGTGTACCTCCTATTTTTCCTTTTTGCAAAGCGGTCAATCACTAGACTGTGACTCAGCTTAGAAAGTTCTTCCTTTTCAACTGATAAAATAGCAGGATGATGGAGCCTGTCTTGTCCCATTGTGCACCTCAGCCAAGTGTGGAGCTTTCTCAACACACTGAATGACCTTTCACACCTACAGCTGTAGACTGGGATTGTGAGGGAGATCTGGATGACCTGCGTTAGTGTGGGGAATATGATGTTATCAAGCAAGTTGAAAACACACTGCATATCCTAGATAACAAGGCTTTCTTTTTCAACCATAAAAAGCTTTCAAACCATTTTGAATTAAATGAAAGTTTTTTTTACTCCACATTTGTCCTGGGGATAGGGGGACAACTTCACTTGTCTAGGACCATCATGCTTTCCCCCTAAGTCACTAATGTCCCCTTCTTGTTTGTGGAAGCTGGTTGTTGCTCCCTCATCACCTTCATGGTCCTGTCTCTCCTGTCTCTTGCCTGTCAGTCTCGCCTCCTCCTCCCTTTCCTACTCCAGCACCTGCATTCTCATTCTCTACAGCAAACATTAAAAAACTTAAATTTATAATTATGTAAATATCTATCATATTGCTTATAACGTCCCTAATGTAACTGGTTAGCTTAAATCACTAATTCATCACGGGACCTTACCTCCCTCTCTCTCATCTTGTTTTACTGCTTCCTTGTCTCTGCTTCGTGTGAGGAATTTCCTGATATCCATCTACAAACCAATGCAGTAATTTTCAGATAGTAGCCTATAAATCATGTGGTTTCACTGAGAAAATAATAAAATTAACAGGTAAGAAACGTTACCAGAACTAAAAATGCGTCGCGGCCGCACAGTGTCCCATCCAACTCAGTTGAGAGCAGCGTGTTAATTTACCTGCAGTTCATGCAGTGACATGCGCTGACGTGGGGGCGCTATTACATCCTCAATTTGGAGTTAACAACACACTTGCTGCGCATCTGAGTAGAAATATACGTCTCCTCCGATTATCTAAATTGATGCATTAAAAAAATGTATCACTGTTGCAAATATTCATGAGATTTATACTGGGGCACAGCTCATTTATACTGGGGCACGTGCCCCAGTAAATGGGGTCTGGCGACGCCGATGACCCTAACTGAACTATGGTATATACTTTATTTTCCATCTGGGTTCCACCATAACAAGGCAACACATCAAGCAGGTGCTTACAACGCAGAGCAATATAAACAAAACAAATATTAATTATAGATTACATAGCATACTAAACCGCAAAGCATTTTATTCTCCTTATACACTCTGTATCAAAGATAGCATGTGGGGGGTGGTGAGTGTAGTGACTCAGTCAGTCTGACAAGATCCAGGTTAAGTTGATTGATGATTCTAATTTAAGTTGTAGATGAGGGATAGTCTAGCTCGCCGTGTTAGCCAAATGAAAGGCTGGTGACCTGTCTGCTTCGTACTTCTTCAGTAAATATCAAGCAAATAATAGAAATTAGACACAGTTGCTAAATTTTAGTGCCACCCTCCTTGTCATCTGAATCTGTTCAATCCAACTCACTACGCATGCCACAGTTGGATTTAGAAATAAAAGTTGCTTCATCTTAATGTGATCTCTTCGGTGGGATGGGTATAGGCAGAAAAGGTCAAAGAACAGAACCTGAACTGACATATTTACATCTTTAGTGCAGTATCTGACTACCCTTGTATAGCAAAACAAGCCCCAAATAGTTAGTGCACGGTCCCATGTGTTCTCCACATTAGCTTGTTTACCTTATAAATTATTAAACCTATAAATTGTTAAAGATTTATCTTATACCACCTGTGGTATTTCAAACATGTTTAAAGAAATGGCTGAAGGGCAAACCAGTTCAAGTTTGATCAGATAAAGTATTTGAAATAGCATAATAAATGCCTTTTAGCCTTGTATAAAAATGTCCAATAGCCCCAGGGTTGGTAGGAAGCTCTCTATTAGTTGCTAAATTTCCTATTTTTAGCAGATAGCAGTTATCCAGTCATGTGCTCTCATAGTGCCTAAAATCTTTACACTGAAATATCCTGTTCATCAAAATAAGAGTATCATAAAGGAATCCAGGGTTAGGTTCCCATATAGAACTTATGAAAAACAGACCAGCTAGACACTGATGATATTTTCTTTCCCTAAACTTTTTCCTACTATTTCATCTCTTAAAACGGGTTTATAATGTGATTTAACCATTTCTAAATAATCTTCTTCTGTGCTCTTTTTCTGTGTCATTGCCCTTTAGTAATTGCCAGTGGTGTTGTTAGCTTTGCCACAATCAGACTCCGAGCCACACATGCACGGTGATGCTGTTGGATCTGATTTAATTGCTGTATTAATATTGATGAGGGTCATCTCCTGTATGGTTAATGTGCTGTAGCTGCATATGCATATGCTCAGAAAGTTACAGACATCATGTTGACTCCAGCATGCCATTGTGTTCCAAAAGGTGGAAATCATGTGTTCACATGGTTTTGTGCTGCAGTCATGAACACTGTACACTCAGCGCCTACTGATCACACGTACACCTTTACTGCACGGAGCAGCAGTGTCTCTTTCTGTGTCTCTTCCTTGTTTTTCTTCCATTTTCTCAGGTCCTCACCTTATTCACTGGGAGAAGCCTTTGTCAGCCAGCTGTCTCTAACAATACCTCAGTGCTTCCCCATCCTCATATGTTCAACTCATCTCACTGCCCAGGAAGCCAGCCGTGTCAGCTTTCCTTTGTTTTGCCCATTGACTGTCTCCTTTTTCATCAGCATCTCCTTCCCTCACTCTGAAAACTCAACTTCATTGTTATCACCTTCCTTTTCTTTGCACATGTTGACACTGTGCAGAGGCAAATGTCGTACTGAAAACATTCAGTAGAATAGAAAATACTTAGCAGTCTGTCAGGTAGATCTGTAGCATGCTTATTTGTATTTTAAAGATTGTTTTCTAGCCAGTAAAACCACATCTTGTTTCCCTGCTTCCTCCTTCATAATATATGGTCTTATGTTTTCTGTTTAATTGTAGTACAGTATGTTTCTCACCACGGCGCCACCACTCCGGCGAGGGAGCACGCCCCTGCCTGTCAAGCACCAGCTGCGACGAGAAGAGGCTGTGTCCGACGACTGCGATTGGATACCGGGTCTTGAGGGGGCTACCACGTTGCCCATCAGTGACACAGCCGTGCCTCGAGATGACTCCTTCAGTCAGTTCGCAGGAGCACAGCCGGCGTACCAGAGCCATGGAGGGGCACTGAGGATAGTGCTGTTAGGACAAAACGGCGTGGGCAAGTCGTCGCTTGCCTTATCTCTGGCTGGACAGTCGGACAGATCGCTCTCTATAGACTCTGAGACACAAGCTTGTGGTAAAGCATTGAATATTAAGTGGTGGATATTGATAAATTAAAGCTTCTTCCACATGTCTATCTGACAAATATTGCATTGAAACATCTGCAGCTTAATCAAACAATTGAATAAATTCATTATTTGAGGGGAAAATCCTTATATCAAGAAATACTGCTTTTAAATTTCAGGACCACAAATCATACTTTGTAGAGCCTCCTTTGGTCAACTGGATATTAATATTTTCTCCTGCAACTCACAAGATTGGAGGATACAAAAAAATGATCTTTTACAATTCCTCACTGCAAAATATCTCTAGATTGTCCCCAAAGAGCATAACATAAAGCAGTTGTCCAGAACTCATATCCTAGAGGATCAGTGTCTTGCAAATTTTAGATGTATCCCTTTCTGTACACACTTGAATCAAATGGCTATACTGCCTCTCTAGCAGAGCTCTGTTAATGAGCTCACTTTGGAGTCAGGTGTGTTGAAGCATAGGTGCATCTAAAAGTGAAATGACATCGACCCTCAATGACTGGAGTTTGAGACCACTAACCTAAGGCTTTCTATGTGATTGAAATGGCATGTCAGCCAAATATTTAGGCCTTTTTATTGCCACTTTATTGCAAAGCACCCACTTTGATTTAAGTATGAGGACCAAGTTGACCAGGGATGAAGGTTAATACCTGTTTGGTCACTAATTTCTTTTGAAATCTATTCAGTTTATTGGTATAAAGTCAATTTACAACACATCATCTCAAGGCATTTTGCAGAGAAAATCATTCAGTCAGATTGGTAAAAGGTTTCTTAGGAAAACATGCTGATTGATTTATTAAATAGCAGGACATGCTGCTCCTGGATTAGCTTTAACCAACGATATCCCCTTGCATTTTGTCTTTGACTCTTCCGCAATCCCTCACACCAAGCACGCATGCAGTGACAGTGGAGAGGAAAAACTAAATTTTAGAAGGAGAAAGAAGCAGATATACAAAAGTAACTAGAAACACTAATCTATTAATGCTTTCTATGTTAGAAAAGGTAACAGTAAACTAGCTCCATAGGGGCTCCGTTCAGGAAAGAAAAAGTTAAGCAGGCGAGCTTACATTTCAAAGTGATTAAAGATACACTGTTAGTTACACTAAAAGCTGTGCTGTTTTATATTCTGTATTCTGGTGAAATCCACTGAAATCTCCCACTTGTCATGATGGGTTCACTGAAAGCGACCCAAGAATGCAGAACACCACTGACTGACACAAGGATTAAAGTTTAACAGTTTTATTAAACACAAGCACACTGTATATTCTGGTTCAGGTTCGGGGCCTGGGTTCTGGTTCACCGGAGTCTGCGTGAGAGACAGTTCAGTTAGCGTTGCCAACAGAGGTTTGATTTCCAGAAGTCTACTGATAGTACCTTGAGGGTTCTTGAGGTTAGCTATGGGAGAGTCACTGTTGGTTCTGGAGAAGAGTACATCAGCAGAGTCCGTAGCTGCTTCAGCGTCTCACGTCTACTTAGAACAGACCTTGGCTTTGGGTTTCCCAGCTCTATTCCAGAGCTGCTTGGAGGTTCACTGTGAATCTTCAGGTTTGGCTCAGAGGGTCGGCTCGGCAGGTTAGCTCTTCCAGAGCTTTCACAGAGGGGGCACAGGTTTCCTGGAAAACAGACACAGGGGTTAGAATCCAAGCTGGATTCAAAAGTCATAGATTTACTCTGAGGATCTAGGCTTAAGCGCTGACCAACTGGAACAATACTGCGGCGTTGAGGCAAGGTCTGAAGACAGCTTAAGTAGTGGATCCTCTGATGATCTTGACGAGCTGCAGCTGTGCAGGAGGCTCCCTCAGAGGATCCACGGCGGACTCTGCTGGAGAAAGGTGGAATTTCTCCAGCTCCCAACAGTACCCCCTCAACGACCGCCCCTTGGCGGTCCGGAAGAGGTTGATGGGCAGGAACGCTCGTACTCCTCGATAAGGGCTGGATCGAGGATGTACGAGCCTGGAACCCACTGGCGATCCTCCGGTCCGTAGCCCTCCCAGTCGACGAGGTACTGCCATCCGCGACCTCGTCGACGGGAATCCACGATGCGACGAACCGTGAAAGCCGGATGTCCATCGACCTCCAGGGCGGGTGGTGTGGAGTCGGACGGTGGGCACAGAGGGCTCGAGGAGACAGGCTTGATCTGGGACACGTGGAAGGTGGGGTGGATCCGGAGGGACTGAGGTAGCTGGAGACGGACGGCTGAAGGGTTGATGACTCGAGTGATCCTGTAGGGTCCGATGAATCTAGGGGAGAGCTTTCCCCTTGAGGGGGATGTCTAGAGTGGACAGCCATACCTCCTGACCTACGGCATACTCGGGGGCGGGACGTCTCCGTGCGTCGGCGAAGCGCTTAGTCGCTTCCGATGATTGGTTGAGAGTGGCGATGGTTTCCCTCCAGATCCTTTGGCAACGGCGGATGTGATGGTTGACGGACTGCACCGAAATCTCTCTCTCGTCTGCGGGAAAAAGAGGTGGTTGATAGCCGAGACTGACCTGGAATGGGGATTGTCCAGTGGATGCAGATTTGAGGAAGTTATGGGCGTATTCGATCCATGGCAGAAATTGGCTCCAATCCACGGGGTTGTTAGACGTAAGGCAGCGAAGGGTGGTTTCCAATTGCTGATTCATGCGTTCAGTCTGACCATTCGATTGGGGGTGGTAACCAGAGGTGAGCGAGGGTTTGCAGCCGAGAGCGGAACAGAATGCCTTCCAGACCTGGGAGATGAACTGCGGGCCTCTATCCGAGAGGATCTCTTGGGGAATGCTCCCAACACCACTTGTATCTTTTTTTACTTCTACCAAATTTCTTTTTGAAATATGTAGTTTTGTGATGCAATCTAAAACAGTTTTAATGAGCTTTGAAAGATACACTGACCAACAGCACCACAGATCATCCACTATACTTAATATTGGATTTTTAGTTTTTTAGTTAGTTTACTTATGTCTGCTTCAGAATGGCCCAGAGAAAATATGTAAGTAAATGTATATTTTTTTTAGCTCAGAGTTCAAACCAAAGTAAAGCCTAAACACTGATATTGTACCAAATGCTTTAATAATTCAATTCCATCAACCCCCAGACATCTACACAAAATGAATGCCTGGCTATAGGATTAAAAGTAAAATCAGAATAAATTCATTTAAAAAAATCAATGATTTATTTTAAAGAGTATTTAAAATACATTTCCAATTAAATGATAATGTTGTAACACATTTTTATTTTTTTTTTACATATAAAAGGCCGTTTTTTTATATCAAAATGTTATTCTGAAAGGGATTTATTTGAAAAGTGTTTATCTTTACACATGTGCCTTAGGAAGCTTAATTAGAGCAAAAACATTCCTACAAGACCAATAGGTTTCCTTACTGAGCCACAATATTAGTTCATCCACACGCCTCTGAAGCACTAATGTGAAACATCTTGGTAAATTAGCTGCTACCTGGCATAATGGCATTTCAATTAGAAAACAGTTTTCACTTTTTTATGATGTGCTTGGCAGACAGATAAGTAAACAAACTTAAAAATACATTTTTTTACAAATAAAAATCTAAATACTATGTACCTTTTGCAGTCTATTCCTGTTTTTATGCTTACGTTCTGAGCAGCCCACAATAATTCCTTATCTAGCAAAGATGTGTCTGTGGTCTGGATCTTGTCATCAGCTTATTTTGCTCAACTGGCTGTCTTGCCTTTGTTAGCTGTCTTTGGACCGTCTGTCCATGGCTGGCTGTTGCGCTTTTATTGGGCCTTAAGTGTTCTGTTTGAAAGGTTTGGAAGCACAATCTGGCGCTAAGAGCAGCTGTGTTTGTTACAGAGCTGGATGTGTTAGTTAATGGGAGTAGAGAGCAGGCCTGGTGGAGCACACCTCTCTAGTCACAGACAGTGATTCCACATTATTTTATCTCAGAGTACACTTATATAGTCTAGTACTACAGTGCCTTGGAAAAAGGTATTTTTTTTTTTTTTTTTTTTACATTTTGGCCTTTTTTTTGCATTTTGTCTCGTTACTGACAATAACTAATGTAGAAGAATGATAATGTGGGGCTTTCATAGTCATAAGACATAAATTAAACATACTTATTATGCATTTGTATTCAGATCCAAAAATGTCTCTGCAAACAGAGACCTTCTTTAACGTTTGTCTAAACTAGTTAGCAGCAGTTTAGACGGCCTGCTAGTTTAGGAGAAACAGCTGTATAAATGTAACTTCTAATGCATTCTGGTTGTGCTGGACCTTCTTTAGGGGTGTCAGAAATATGTGGCTGAATACAAATGTACACACTCCACATTTTAAATTTGTATTTTTTTTTATATTACCGGTACCTTTTTCACATAACTGTGAACTACCTCATATTGGTTAGTCAAATGAAAGGAAAATAAAGTAAGTTTACATTTGTGCTTGGAGCAGGTCAAAAATATTAACCATTATGGCCATATGGACACTTTTGCAAGGCCCTAGAAGTCTTTTATTCAGTCAGCTTTGATAAGTAATGAGAAGCAGCCGCAGCCCTAAGAACTTATTTTCAGACTCAGTTCATTCATGTGTAACCCCCCTCACACTTTTTTTTGGCCTTTAAGCTAAAGCCATTTATTTTTCTTTGCCCTCCTGTGTGGCATCTGTCAGTTAGCAGATCTGCATGTAACACAGTGCAGGATAACAACACCATAGATAATCAGCTGCAGCCCTCAAGTCTTCAGCCAGCCAGTCAATCAGTCATTGTCACCCTGAGGTGACAGTCTACATGCCCCTGGCCCACACTGCATAGCATTCATTACATCAGCCTAAGCTCTAGTCTTGGATCTTTGCACCATATTTAGAGAGAAGAAAACACCCTTCCTAAGTAGTTCATACAATTTTTTTTTTAAAGGTACACTATGCAACCAGTGTTGATTTTCCAGCGAGACTCCCCCCAGAGGGCGAAAGTAAAAGTGCACTGTCGTAAATATGCACAGCTGTTCTCCTGGTTTCTCTGTCAAGCCAGGCGCGGTTGTTTTGAGCTTAGCAGACAGGCGAACGCAACGAATGACTAATGCTGCGTTCACACCGCAGCTGGGGCGACAGAAGCAGCGAGTTTACATGCAAAGTCAATGGTTGACGCGCGTCAAGGCGCAGCAAAGGAGCAGCAGGCCCAGCGCGTTTGAGCAGCTGAAGCAGGGAGAGAGACACAGCGCTGATGATCAGAGGCTATGATCTCTCTCCTCTTAAACAGTTTATTGACGCCTAAATTAACTTAAAATGCAGAAATCTGCCGGCAGAATATGCAGTTTGGATTATTTAGATGAAAAACACCTACCAGCTGCTGCGGTGAACCGCGAGGACGTGACCTGGCCAGAGGCTGCTGATGAAGGGGTTCCTTCTGTCGGCGCACCGCTGGTATGTGGGGGTCTGAGCGGCTCCGACAGAAAAAATATTGAAGGCAGGATAATAATCTGAATAAACTGACGGCACTGATTACGTTTTCAGGTGTATTTTCTCATTTAAACACATATTAAAACTACTTTATTCCAAATGATCACAGCAAATATAGCTGCAAGGCAGAGAAAGGATAGTGAAGCTCCGCCCAACGCGCGTCAGACACACTTTTGCACCGCACAGCCAGAGCGTCAGAACTAACTGGTTCAAGCAGCAAAAATGAAGCAGCAGACACGATTTTGCTGCTTTTGCTGCGTGAACGTAGCATAACTGCACAAGGATCGCCACTGTGCTAGCAACGAGAATGCTTTTAACTGGGGGGTGTAGCAGTTCTCGGCCGTAAAGCAAGACTGACTCTCACGAGACTTCTGAGCCTGTGGGTGCGGGTCGGTGCTCCTGCAATTGCAAGTGCAGTATTTCCCCCACAGACCACTAGGGCGGCCGAGAATACCTTTGTTCAACCTGAAATGACTCATTTAATCATCCAAAACATTATGGAACACATTAATTAACTGAAAAATGTTGCATAGTGTGCCTTTAACTGCCTCTTCTCAAAATGCTTATTTTGTAATCCAATTACCATCAAAATAAGAAATCCCCCCAAAAAACTTTTTTTTTTTTTTTTTTTTTTACTTTTTTCAAATATGTAGATTAGATTATTAATGGCTGCCATTTTCTAAAGATTATACTGTTAGTAAGGAAGTTCCGTTCAGGAAATTCTGTCCCTGATAGCAACACCTCAATAAAGCAAACTAAATCAATGACATCTATACGTTTAAACAGCCAGTGGCGTATGATAAGACACCACATTGAATGAATGAATTATTACTTTATTTCGGTTTAAAAACAAAAAATAAAATAATAGTTTTTTTTTACTAAAGAATCCATCACACAGCAACAGAAAAAGGAATAGGCTGGAGTCCCAAGCCTTATTTTTGCCTATTCTGTACCATCATAACAATAATTCACAATAAAACATTGGTACCAATACATAATTACAAAACACATAACTTAAACTGTAAAATCAAACTCAGTCAAATTTCATTGTAACTTTTTATAATTTTAGATTTTAAAGTCTTCTTGAAAACTAATATAGAGTTACACATCTTTATTTCATCGTTTAGTCCATTCCGTCATTTTGCACCCAAAATTATTTAGAAATTACAAAGCTCTGGCTTTGTAATTTTCAAACATTAGTAACCCCCTTAAGTAATAAATCCACTGCCGTAGCTTAATAATTTTTTGAATACAAACAGGGATGGTCTTTTTTACCACTTGTAACATAATTTCCAATTTTTTTAAGAATACAATGTCTAGAAATTTTAATGTTTGTGATCTTATAAATAGCTGTATTTCATCAGTGTTAAATGGCCTACTTTAGTAGGTTAGTTATGTCACACTTAGGTTATTCCCAAATGATGTTTCAGCCCCACTATATCCGTTTCTCTTCACTCCAAGGTAAATTGGATCTAAAACTGGACAAAATATTCAACTATAATTGTTGCTGCATTGTCAGGATTGTTATATTAAAATCACAAAGGCTAGCTTGGAGGCAGCATTTGGTTGGCTGCTGTTTTTTTGAGCGACAAGCGTCCCACATTCTGCATGCCAATATTATAGTATTAGTCATTTGACTGGTGACTTTTGCAGCAAACATCCAATGTATGTTTGTATTAGCTGAGACGCAAAAGAGCTCAGAGTGTGGTGGTGACATTGTGATAGCAAACAGGACTAAAAATGAATACTAGCCTTTCGGCTTCTCTGGCAGATTAAAGATGCCTTATTATAATTCTTTCAGTCTTTTTATTTAAAAAATACTTAGGGTAAAGGATAACCTCTGTTGTTTAGACTTTCAAAATTAAACCTGGTCTATGATAAAGTTATTCAATAAAGTTCATACAAGTGAAAATAGGCCATAATTGTAGCTTTGGACTCTAATCATGTAACATGGACTCTGTCATGTAAAAGATATCTTAGTTTGGACTCTGATATAATACTTGGTATAAGGTGGGTTTAAGGTTAAACTATTTACATATTTACTATATCTAAAAGGATTTCATCATATTCAATTAATTACACAAAAAATAGCTTTAATAGATAACTAAAATGTAAAACAGATAATTCAGGATAAACAACCTACTAAATATATCTGGAAAAACTTCATAATTTTTGACCTGTTGCTATAAAACCCCATACATAAACCTTTCAAAAAACATATTTTTCTTTTTCAGATCTTATAGGATAAGATTCAGATTTTAAGGACATATTTCCACTGTATAAGATTAACAAAATCATATAAACGTGTAAATTATAGATTAATATTGTCTCTGTTTTTTATGTCTAATAGTGTAAGAAATGTCTATTAATCATCTGTTAACAGTAAGTTAGTGTAGTTCATTCATTTTACTGTGGCTCAGTGGGTGGAGCTGTCATATAAAGTGCAGCTCTAAGTCGAGAAACACTCTTTGATAATTGCATTAACTGCTAACAACTCTGATATAGCTCCTGAAAAACTGTTGACACTTCTTTCTATAGAAGCTACTGTTTAACTTTCTGCTACACAAAGTAAATATTGTTCCACTTCAGTGGCTCCAGGATGTTTTTGGCAGATGTTAGACCCCAGTGGTTGTGTTTTTGTTTTAAGCAGAGCTGTGAAGATAAATCTGACATTTATATCCGTTTGCAGGTGAGGGCTATGAGTGCACAGTGACAGTGGACGACGAGGACAGCAAAGTCATCATTTTTGACAACTGGAAACAGGTGAGTGACACTGTGAAAACTGAAATGTCTGTTTTTTGGTTGAAATGCTAAAACCTTTTGTTTTGTATCTATACTGCATTTACTCCTACTACTATACAACAGTCTCCATTGTCATTAGATCGTCATTTCTTGGAGCTATGTGAAATAGTTTTGTATTGATAAAGGAAGACAGAAATAGCATGTATGCATTTCAACAAATAAATATTATGTCAAACAAAATGTTCTGCTTCATATTAGGCATAAGTTTCTGCAGCATCTGGCATAGAAATTAATTTAAATGCTAGAATTTAAGAGGGCTCACTTAATTGCACTTTGTTTTTAGCTGTCTTCACTTTATATGTGATACAACTCTGAAGCTTTTTTCTGAGAAATATAGTTTACATGTGCAGCTTACATTTGCTATTAGTTTTCATGGTCCCTCAGATGGAGAGGGTACACCTCATGCTGAAAGAGAGTTAGAAGAAAAATATTGAGCTTTAGAGCAGAGGTGTCAAAACTTTTTAGCAGCTGTCAGAAACTGTTAAATTAGTACTACATTAGTACTTAAAAACCTCAAACATCTCTTTAACAGTTAAGAGTCTAAAATTACATTTGCTGCAACCATGTTTTGGATCTGACTATGACATTATTTTAACCTCGTGGGTAAATTCTTAGGAATAAGTTTTAATTTAAACATAGTTCAGATTTTTGAAGTCAGTTTTGTGAATTTAGGAGTGATTGTTTGGTTACTTGCGTTAAAAGGTGTCACACTGCAGTAAGTTTGCAGAAAAGTAAAGTAAAAATTAATGTGACACAACATTAAAACAAGGACTTTGTCATTGTTTCTTCAGACTGTGTTACTCTGCTAAGTTACGTCTGCCAAGGCCTTCTTTATCAACTACCGCTCAATACATTGGCATGAAAAATAAAAAAAAAACCTCATCCTTGAAAAGACCAGCATCACATAATCTTTGATGTTGTTTAACATATGGCAACTTTTTGTAAAAACAACAGTATTTCTTCCCCATTAGTGGAGTCAAAGTAGACTGATGAGTTGAGACAGCTGGTAGCCTCAACCAACATATCGTTGTATGGTTGAACAGAAACAGAAGAAACAAAAGTTCAACAAACATGAAATATCTGGATATTTAATATCCACTAATGTTGTGTTCCATCTTATTAATATGAAATTTTAGAAAGACAGTTGTTTCCCATTTACTAGATAAAATTAATCAGGCGATTCTTAGGTGAGACCGCATCCGTAATCCCATTATTTTAAGATTTTACCCCAAATCATCAGCTAATTTTCTTTGAAATTATCTTCCATAGAATTGATCTTCAATAGTCAGTGGTTTGGTTCTTATTTTAATTTTATCCTGTAATTGGTAAAGAGCTATTTAGGATCATCCAATCTGGAAGTTCATTTTTCAGCGTCTATTTAAAAGAGAAAGTTTTAATGCTTGCAACGGATGACGGACAAAAAAAAAAAAATCACCACTGAGCGAAAGGGACTGGTACAGATCACCGAACGATCTGAACGGGCATTTTTGTGTATTCAAGTCGAAACGTTTGACCAAACGTTTGAAACGTTTGACCATTTAGCCTTGCTTTTATGTGCAAATGTCTATGTGGATATGTGAAAGGTACAGCTGCAGTCACAATACTCAAACCCCTTAAAGCTTTCTCATTTGGAACGCTGAAGTTTTTCTTTCTTTTCTTTTGCTTTGCATCAACACTGTACTGCAAGTTTTGAGCAGTGGAGAATTGAACTGCAAATATGCAGCAGGGGAGAGCAGTAAGCTCTTGTCCAAAAGCACCCTATGACATTGCAGAAATTATACCCAATCAAACAGCATGCTGTTAGCTATTAATAATATTGAGATGATGCAGTGGTAAAGCACTCTAATTACTCCTTGGGGTGGATCATCCCGTCCTGAAGTTGCATTGGTCAGCAGAGGCCCTCATCTTCAAGTTGAATTATTCACATGGAGCTACATTTAACTCTGAAGAACCCCGGAGATAACATGCTCATTTCTGAACCGCAATCCAGCTGTCCTCCCGTCCTGTAGCTGTCATCACTCTTAAACGCCCCAGATGCACTCTTGCTTGTTGTTGCACTGTTTGTGGGGGGAAAAAAGCCCTATTTTGAGAGTTCATTACATCTGTTACTCTGTGCATGGCAGGGCATTAGGGCTAAAGCAACAGTGGTTTTTATTTTTTTCTTTCTTTTGGCGGTTGTGTAGAAAAATTGAGGACATGTGCATGAAATTCAAGCATGCAACATTTCCTAATTCCACAATATCAGTTGTGAAGTATTCAGTGTTTGAAAGTAGCCTGGGATGGCACTGAATACGCTGCCAGGACTCGCAGTCCACAAGAGTTAGAACTTCCGGCCTTGGAACGAGCTGGGAGTGTTCTCCGCAGGGCAACCCAACCTACACCCAGGTTACCATAGCAACATGCACAGACATGAGCACACAGACATGCACGCACAGGGCAGAATTAATCACTCATTCACGCATAACATCATGCTAGAATGGTCAGCATGCAGCACTGCTGGGGCTTTGCTCGTTCTCTCCCAGCAGCAAAATCAGCACCTTATCCTCAACGCAAACTGTGAAAAGTGCGAAAAAAAAAGCGCTACACTCAGCTATTGTTCCTTTGAGTGCTTCTTTTGCTTTTCAGCCCACCGAGAAGTTAAGCAGGTTTAGTAATTTACACGTACTTCAGTGTAGGAGCGAAGTACAACAAATCAGAATTGGAGCAAACAGGAAAGCTTTCAGTTTTCAGTACAGGGCTGGGAAAAAGGATTCCCCTTATTTTTCTATCTCATATTACTGAACACATTATAATTTAAGAAAAAAATCGTGTTTACATACAAACAGCTGTTTTCACAGTATGAGCTAAAGATATAAAGAAAAGAAAGTGATCCAAAACAACAGGATGGAATGATTTATTTACATTAAGGCAATTTTCAGGAGCAAAGCAGCATCAGTCCATCATACTACCAGCACTATGTTCGCTTGTGATATTTTATTTCTGAAAGGACAGATTTATTCTTACACCAAATGATTAAAAATGTATGACTTTGTCCCATCAGTCTATTGACTATTTTCACAAAAGTCTTTTGGGGATGTTTTTTATTCTCATGATGAAATCATTTGTGGTTTTCTTCAGTGTTCACAGCCAAGGGCCTCTCCTGTGGTTACCTTTTAAAAAAATATATTTTTTATGACTGTTGAACTTAGCTGAAACAAGGTAGATAACTACAACAATAAGAATATTTTTTATATTTTTCTGGATTCTCTTCTGATTCCCTCGGACACAGCTTTTAGCCAGTGTTTTCACCTGTGTTTTTAGCTGAGGTCTAAAATTATAACAAGCGCTAAATATCAAAGACATTTGTTTCTGAATTACATCAGATTGGAACAAGATTTGTAATTTTGTGAGATTTTTTTTTTTGAGCTGGCTTCATGCTATGTTCTCAGGCAGGATCTGATTAAAACAAGTTCCTGAATCTTCTGTTAGCTAGAGTTAATTCTGCTGTCAGGTTATTTCAGGATAACATTCTAGAGGCTTTTACCTTTTTTTTTTTTTTTACATCTTTTTTTCTCTTCATAAATGAATTCATAATTTAGGTCATACTTTCTGTATATACTCTGGTGGTTTTTGTTTGTTGTATGATCTGCCGAGCATGTGTGCGTGTTTTAACCTCCAGCGTTAGTGTGGTCAAACATGTGAAACACGGCCCAGAACACATGAACAGAAAGACGACACTTGGGCGAGTGTTGTGAGATGTAGAGTAGTTTCAATAAGTCATCCCTTTGCCAGAAATAGAAATGCTGACATACTTGGCATTGACCTAGCTAGTCTGTTATGTCCTCTGCTTTGGATTGACATGTATGTCTTACACAGCTTGCTGTTTACAGAAGAGGCCTAGAGGGCATTGTCATCATTCTCTTTAATGCGTTTGTGTTGTCTAAGTACTCGAGTGCCTCTGAATTTATAGCAAACTTGAATCAGACTTAGCCTTTTCATTATTATTTGATAACCTGAAATTAAAATATTTATCATAGACAGCAGATTGGTGCAGCCTCAGGCCTGGGAAAATGTAAGACGCATATGGAGAGCCGTAGATCTATGTGCATTTGCATGCAGTGAACAAAATGAGCTGCTGACCTTTTAAATGTTGGTTCGCTTATTATGTTTTGTAAGGTTAAGGAGAAAAAATTAAGGATGTAATTTGTTGGGCAGTAATTGCTGTATAGCTACATTATGTTGCCCAGTTAGAGGATGTAAAAAAAAAAAAAAAAAAAAACCTTAAAAAAACATTCCTCTGCCAGTTCCTGGAACAAAGACAGATTTGTGCTGAATTATTCCCAAGAAGTTTTCTAGACATTTATTTTTCTTTCTGTTCTTGTGTTTTTATTCTCAGTAGATCTGTACAGCTCTGTTCACATTTTTTATATATTTTCTCTAAACTGCAGAAGCTTTTATAGCTTTGAAATTAAGTTTGTTCTTTTTTTTCATGAGAAATAATTTGTAGTAAATAGGAAAAAATGGTTTGTATAAATACTAGTTAGAATGTTATATAGAGGGTTAGTTATGACATTCATGGTCTAGAGACTTTAGACTCTGCCTGCATTTCTCTTCAAGACCTTTCAGACACACTGTTATTAATATCTTATGCAGAAAAGACACCAACTTGGGAGAGTTAAAGGTAGCTTATATCTCATCTTTTGGGAGATATTACAAATATTTTAGCCTGCTGGATTACATGCTCGGCCAGCTCTATTTAGTACAAACAAAATCAGTTGTTTAGACACATAATCTCATCTTCAATCCAAAATCCCAATCAATTCAGTTACAGAATAAAAAGATATTAATGAATTAAAGAGTTTTATTTGGATTAATGTTTTTAATCGAATGTTTATATCCTTTCCAAAAGAAAGTGAAGCCAAATATCCTTATTCAGAACATAAAAGATCGATTTAGGTGCATAAAGAAATAATCAAGAAGGT